CCATTACTGTTGCCCCTATACCAGGGGCAACTTTAATAAAAATAATTAAAATAATTACAACTTTACAAAAAAAGAGAAGTTGCCGATCTTGCCCCTATACCCGGGGCAACTTCGTCAATTTCTCTCTTCTTGTAAAGTTGTAATTATTTTAATTATTTTTATGTCCAAACTGATTTTAACCAGATGTATAGTAAGGTAACATTCCAATAGACAATATGCAAAAGGTTTTTTTCAGTTTACAGCAGTATTTATTACACAAAATTTAAGTAAAGCTTAACATGCCGATCTTGCCCCGATCTCCCCTAATATTTTGCCAGTTTTACCAGTATTATACAGTTGTCCAACAGAAGAGTAATCTATCTTATTTACAAATCTTTTCAAAATAGACAGTTTGACCGGGCCCTTTTAAAAACCGGGCCCTAGACATTTGTCTCATTTGTCTATGCGATGATCCGGCCCTGAGCGTGAGTCATCCTGAACAGGTGAGATAGGTTGAGACCAAGGCAGACCCAAAGGAAAGCTTTTGACCCAGTTCTGGATTGGACTGCCAACAAATCTTGAAGTTGGATAAAAGGCAACATAACCGATCGAAACAAAGAGAAATAAGCAAGGCTTAAGACTATGTTGTTGGTAGCCATCCAGAAGTATTTCTGTATATACTGTAAATAGTTGTATATCTCAGATCAAGTCCATTTATTTTATGAGTCATAAGGTGTTCTTTCTGATGGGGCCAGAAATCGGATGGCACAATCCAAAATTTATTAACATATTGTAATAACTTTTAAAAATAATTAATTTAATAATTTAGATTTAAGTTTTTCAATTGTTTATATTTAATTTTTGATTTTATAAGAGGAGGGTTTTTTTATAGGTGAATTTGCATTGACCAATGAAGATGATGGAGAAAGTAGTGTTAATGTAGAAAGTGAAAATTTTGAGCATCTTGGAGATATTGCTTCACATATGCACCACTCTGAAAATATTGATAATAAAGGTCTATTTTAATCTAATTTTACAGTATAAAATAAGATATACTTAAATTATTAAATTTATTTTTTTAGCAAGTTTATATAATAAATTTTTACTAATATGCTAATCACAAAAACTAAATATAAATTGAAATTAGTATCTAGAAACTTTATTTAGATAACTAATAAATTACCACACAATTAATATGAAATTAATATTATTGGAAAGCAATTCAATTAGTAAATAATCTTCAAGTTATTTGTGATACTATTTTATAGCTTAGGCTGATTTTAATTATATATAGTTAAAAGTTTATAATTTTATGATTATTGTTTATTAATTTATAACAATTATTTATGATCAATTCATTCTAATGTATGATAAGATTAATAAAATTTAACCATATCATATTTAATGCAAATCAGTTAAACAAATTAGAAATACTAGGAAATAATTGATTATAAATTTGAAATTTGTTCATTTGTTTTGTTAGTTATGGCAACGCAACACTTGGGTGATCTGCCTAGGGGGATGCCTTCCAGGAGGTCTTTTAAGGGTAACTGGCCCCTATTTAGGCATTAAAGATGTGGAGAAAACCCAGAAAACTCCACGTGGCCAGCCGATCCTGGTGAGGCGAGAACCCATGACCGAACTACCAGTGTTGAGGGAACGGAACTGCTTGGCCACTGGTGGGCCATAAATTTGAAACTAAAATCATTGTTGATATGGTTGGATATAATAATGTTCTGGAAATATTATTTTCTTCAAGACTTCATTTAGTGGATATGAAACAATATTTCTTAGAATAAAGGAAATTTTTCTAATCTTTGAACTGCCATGATATCTTTTGAAGTTATTAAAATATGTTTCAAAACTAGCATATTTGAAACAAATGATGGAGTAAGAAACATTTATTAAAAGAAATAAGATTGCATTGAAAAATAATGTAGTTATTTATTTCTAGTTTATAATTTACAAAATAGTAATTGCCTTTACTGTTTGAATTACTCTCTAATTTGTAAATATTTAATTTTTTTTAAATAGTTATTTCTTTATTAAACCAACTATTTAGATTTATTTTTAATTTCATTTATTATTTAGATAATTGAGTTACTGTTATATTTTGATTATTTTTATTTTAATAATTTAGTATTTAATTGTTTATATAACCCATTTACTATATATTATTGTTGATAATTCCATGAGAGTATTTTTCATTATTAATATTGAATTTTTTTATTTTTTGTACTATTTTTTTTTCCTCTTATTTTTCAACCGTATAGAAACTTATCAGAATTTTTTTCATTTTATTTTAGTAAAAACATTTAGCTATTTCAAACTTCTGAAATTCTATTAAAGTAGCCTTTTAATATTTTTAATTACCAAAAGTTATCAGTTTGCATTAATGCAGTAAATAAATGAAAATATACAAGGGTTGACTGTTAAATATTTATCTAAAAAAATTTACAAGATGAATGTAAATGATGAAAATTTATATTCATCATCATTATGTTATGAAATTGACATGTAGTTGAAACTTGTAGGCCACATAAGTGACAGTGATATTGTAATGATGGCTGTGATAAATAAGATTCCCATTGGTATATGGTCTGCAAGATAATAATGAGAAAAAGTTAATGTTACCATTAATGACTTCTGTCCTTTGTAAACAATTTAAATCATTGAAATCTATTGTCAAATTTCTTAGAATATTGTAGAGACAACAGTTTAGTTCTGTAGTTATGTAGGATACATCTAAAAGTTCTACCATGAAAGTTTATGCAGTCAAGGTTTCATAGAAAGAATTATGCTCTTAAGGCTTTTTCAGTAAAAAAGATCAGAGTTAGAGAAAATTGAGTTCCAACTGTATAATATTTAGTATTTACAAGTACAGATCCTTATACTGTCATTTCTGTTTTTTGAAGTTTTTCATTAATTTAATTTGTTGTTTCATGTTTATATTATTCAATATTGCATTATTCTCATGTAATACTTATACTTAAAGAACTTTATTCAAATTGATATAATAATTGTAATAAAAATTTTTTTAACAGTCAGATCCACAACACGAAATTTAATTAAGAAGAAAACTTACTTTAAATGTAGTAAATGGGTTGATTTTTTTTTCTTTTTGTTTTAGTAATCAACAATTCATTTTCTTTTTAACTTTTTTTTTTTATAAATTTACTTTCTTTAGAATTATCAGATCAGCTTTTGCATGCATCAGAAGAAAACTCGTCAGATAATTTTCTTAAGTGTAATAACAATCAATCCATTTTATCTGATCAGGATCCAGGGAAGAAACTGTACCTGCTCTCTAATATATCAACAGATACTTCATCACATCAAGATAATTTAATTAAATATGATGCTAAAGTAATTTCCACTGAACATGGAAATAACAGAGAGACTTCATCTGTTTACAGTGAGAATAGTGCATTAATTACAAAAAGAGAAGTGATTAATGAAGATATTGTGGATGTATAAGCACTGCCAATTTTGTATAATCTTAAATTGATCCATCTGTCACTCCTTCATCAGTGAATCAGTTAATGAAATTTCAGCCACATACATTCGATGGGTGAAATAAACATTTCCATCTTCATTCATTGAAGTCTGTCATATGAAATGATTTGATTAACAAATAGAAGATGCTAATTAGAAATGTGATTAAATTTGTTAAAAATATGTACAGAATAATTATTTACTTATTTCATTACACTTTATAGAAAATTATTGTTATTTGAATTGAAGAGTTGTGCACTTTAATTCTATTAATATTGCATTATTATGACATCTGCTTAATAACAGTACATGGTAGCTAAATTTGCTTAAATTAGTTGTGTAATGAAATTGTTCTAATATAATGTATTAATATTATTTATAAAATTTAGAAAGTTGATTATAATAGAAAATTATATAATAATCTTATAAATAGAATTTAAATGTGCATAATGAAAATCAACAAAATTTATAATTTTTTTAAAAAATTCTTGTTAAATTATCAAAATAAGACAATTAAGCATATGATTTAATTTTCCCTTTAATTTCAATATTGAATTATTTATCAATTTTGAATTGACAATTAAAATCTATTTAAATATGTTCTAAATTATGTACTTTAATTCTAACGATAACAATATGTTTCTCGATTAATTACTCAATTATTTGAGAAGTATAAAATATTTTAAATTATAAACTGATAAGTTTTAAAATTAAAACAAAAAATTAAAATTAACATATTTAATATTTCATAGTAATCAAGTAGTTGATTATAAGTGCAATACTATATTATTAAAATCATATATATATATATTATATATTTTTAAATTGGAACATAATTAGGTTTAATCGTAAGTTTTTCATTTAAAAATGTTTAATTCCGATATAATTTAACCAGAGAGACTATCATTTCAACAATGATAAAAATCTTAACTTTATAAATTATAAGTGGTATATTAACTGCATTCCAAACTTTTGAAATCCGTTTCATTTTATTCATCCTGTTATTGTTTGTAAATGTGTATTAAAGAATTATATTTTATTCCACCGTACTAATTGTGATACCCTTATTTTTTTGTTATCAAAAATGTGAAAACGCTGTTAGCTTTCAATATATTAGATTTTTGCTTGTATTTGTGCATTTTGGATTAAAACGGGACCAAGTGAGATTTAAAGTTAAAACAATATTTTATTGTATTTTTGGTTTTTATTTTCATATGTATATACTAATTCACTGGTCCCTAATCATTCCAGTTGTCATTGATATATAGAGCTTTAAACAATTTATAGTTATTCTTAAAAGATTAATTGATTCAGTTTTCTTGTTTGTATATCAGTAAAATTTTTATTTGTACAGACAGCAAGAACAAAATTTTATATATGTGTATATACATATATATATATATGTACTTTTTTCAAAAAAAAAAAAGATGAAAAATGCCAACAGAGATGGAAGTATAAAAATTCAAAAAAAAACTAAATTCTATTTAATTAAATAATTGTCTTTCATTCTCAATTCTGTTTCTGCATATTAACAATCTATGGAAAATTTAACTATCATTTCTGTTTGTATTTATAATTGTAAATTCTTGTACAAATATGTTGAATCTAAAAAAAAAGTAAATCAAGAATTTTTATATTTTATTATTTTTTTATTAAATATATCTCTAGTCTCTTATGACAAAATAAAGAGAAATGCTGTTCTTTATTGAGTCAGAATCTCTAGTGCCAATTTGGTAAGACTTTTAAAATAAACTTAGTCAAACTCCATTTGTATACTTATCTACTTATTGTATAACCCTATTTCTGTTAAATGTATTAACTTCATTTGCTTTTATATTATGTATCAAAATGAAATGTAAGATGCTGTTGTTATGTGGATTAGCATATTATCATCAAACAGACAACATATCTTCAGCATATTGCTGTTTATAATGTTACGGGGAGGTTAAATTAGGAGAGTAAAGGAATCCCTTTATGGCCCCATTGTGATCTTTACATTAACAAAATATAAGTTATACATTAGTGCAATAATTTAAACATATTGCATGATTTTGTCACTATGAATGGTTAATGATTATAAAATGATTTGCACATTTAATTGATATTGAATATTATTAATGTTCAAAATGTTATGGTTATGTTTTCTGTATGCAAGATTATTAAAATCAAGTGCTTCCATTCCTTGACTGCCATTCAAAATTTATCTTCTGTTTCAAGATTAGTTCCTACTCACCAATGTAATTTTTTTTTCTGTGTAATTTTATATAAAAGTAATATAATAAAATTTCTGCATTTACTTTGTTTTTACTTACTTGGATTCTGATTGAATTACTTTTGATGCCACAAAGAGTAAATGATAAATCATTCTTTACACATACTATAAAAATTATCAGCGTAATATATTCTCTTTTAACATTGTGGGAAATATTTATCAAACATTTTAAACTTCATTTTCAATTTCTTTAATTACGTTTTTCTTTCATCTAAAATATATGCTCTGGATTTTAATAGTGTCTTGACCCTGTACATCAAACTTTTCCTGTTGACAATAGAGTCACACCAGTCATTAAGTGGTCTAAAGAAAATTTGAAATCACCATCAGTCAGAAAGAGGACAAACTTTAGAAAATCATATCTTTATTTCCCTGAGTATGCATTTTGGACATTTAGTCCCTTTTCAACTCCATGTGATATATCTGTTTAGGGAATAATGCATACAAGTTAGCATAAAAACTTTGCAATGTTACAAAATATGTAAAAGATTCTTAAACTTACATGATTATGAGAAGTACAGGAAATTGCACGGATGGATACAATATGGATGATGATTATTGATTAACAGGTATTTGCTAAGACAATAATTAAGATGGAAATGATTTGTAAAATCAAAAATGTTAAACATAGATGTAAAAAAGGTTTTGAAATTGCAGCAAATACAACTGTTTGATACATAACGTTGTAAGAACAATATACATAATAAAACTAATTGTTCCATTTGTTTATGATTCTACTGTAAAAGAATTATTATTATTTTAACGGTGCACTTATTTTACTTCTTCATTCTATTTTATTACTTTAATAGTTTTACAGTATACAATGTCATGGTTTTAAATTTTATAGTTTTAACTGTGTACTTTATTATGTATATTGTTGCCTTACAACATTATCTATCAAACCATTGTATTTGCTGTAAGTTCAAAACCTTTTTTTACATCTGTTTAACATTTTTGGTTTTACAAATCATTTCCATCTTAATTATTGTCTTAGCAAATACCTGTTAACCAATAATCATCATCCATATTGTATCCATCGTTGCAATTTCCTGTACTTCTCATAATCATGTAAGTTTAAGAATCTTTTACATATTTTGTAACATTGCAAAGTTTTTATGCTAACTTGTATGCATTATTCCCTAAACAGTTGAACATGGAGTTGAAAAGGGTCTTAATGTCTGAAATGCATACTCAGGGAAAAATAAAGATATGCTTTTCTAAAGTTTGTCCTCTTTTTGACTGATGGTGTAATAAGTCTAGCGAAAAAGGAAAAGCCATCATAGAGCTAGTATAATTGAATACAAGACTAGACAAGAAGCGTATTACAGAAAATTATTTTAATTGAATTAATGATTTTGTTAACATTATTCTGATAATTGTATCTCAATTTTTCAACTTATAAAATAAAAGCAAATGCAACATTTCTAAGAATTCTACTTCTGTTTTGATATTAATTTCACTAATGATTAGGGATTGAATTACCGGTAGACAATTGAAAATGCATTGGTAAATACAGCAGTAATTTGATATTTTTTGTTGTATATTTGGTAAAAGTAGGAAATATATGATTACAAAACATAATTTATTTTTTCTTCGATTTCTTAATGAACATTCCGTAGAAAACCAATTTTAAGACAATTTTCTTAAGCCAATAAAAATCTAATACCAAGAAATAACTCCCTAGATCAGGTATGCCCAACGTATGGGCCAGATCTGGCCCGTCTAATGAATTTATATGGCCCATGATCAATCTTTCAATATTAGTTACTGTATTGAGGTACAAATAGCTCGATGAAAAATTCTGATGCCTAAAAAAAACAAGGTCAACAACTCACTGTGCATTTAAGAGTTAACCCTCCATTACAAATCTCGCAAGTACAGCATAAAATGTTGATAAAGCATGATAATGTGAAAAATGTATATGTAATCTCTATCTTCAATTCAGTTTCTATGGAGTGACACCACAATGAGATCTCACACCACCACAAAATCGTAGGGTAGCCTCTGGTTCGCCCCGTGGAAAAAGTTTTCTTTCCAATTCGGCCCCGGGGGCGAAAACTGTTGGGTATCCCTGCCCTAGACGATGATATCGCTATTTTAAAAAGTCCAGCAGAATTGCTTAACTTTACCTTTAATCTGTTATATTTTAAACTAATATATAAAATGGCAAAACGCTTAATTTTGAGAATAGAGATGGGTTTTATAAAAAATTGCAAATGCTAATAACGAGTAAAGTCGTCATTAAGTCCGACCCTACTTCAGATACCACACACGACCCCTTTATCTCCCCCATCCCTTCGACCCTTAACCACCAAAATTTAATAGACATCAATCCCCTAATAAGCAAACCGCCCTGCAAATTGTCAGAAATTTTCGACAAAAAGCACGAGTTATTAAGTTTTAAAGAAGGTGAACAAAATCGTGACCCCCCACACTAACACCCATACATGCAGGGGAAAAAACCCCGATTATTTTTTTAATTTCTCGACGTTTCAAGGTGAGCTAAATCTTGTAAAAATGTAAAAATCTTGGTGGTCATTTTTTGACCGATGGCCATACTTTCCTTCTTACATATAACAGCCGGGAAAGTAATAACCGGATAACTTCGAAGTGTTGGATTAAATTCTTTTGTTTATTAACAAATTATTCATTCAAGTAATTCTTTTATTATTATATTTTTGATCCAAAATAATTTTTCTGCAAGTCCGAAAAGTTAAGTTCTGCCTCCGTTTAACTTCATATAATATTCGTGCGACAAACTAGAGCCGGTATGAAGATAAAGAGGTTTGCCTTCGGCCGACGTCGAATTCAAGAGTGAAGCCGGGCACACTCCGGATGAAGGGCAGCGGAATTCCTCTTGGTATACCGAAGTATCTTGCATGGGCCCCGCATTTATTTTTAATAACGGTTTAGGTTTCATGGTTGTCGAAGGAGGAACGAAACGACCGCGAAATTGACTTGTGTAAGTAGATTCTGTCAGCATTTTTCCTTCGGGACGTCGATACGCATCTAGTTTAACGATGGGTCTTCTAGGCCCCACTTCCCACTTTCTGAAATCGTGCGAGTGACACGTCTCGGACTCCATAATTTTGCCGTCTCCAAATTTTAAAGTTTGCACCTACGAAAAAAAAAAAATAATTATAAATTGCGTCGATAATGTTACAATTATTGGAATTAACGTATAAATCGACTTAATACTAACAGGTTTTCTGGATGGTAATTGCCGAAAATGAGGATGTTTTCTATAACTGTAGACATAAGTTGTAACATCGTGCATTTTTATAGAAGGCATTTCGTACGGTTTCTTAATCGTCCACGGAGGGATTTCTCTTTCGTGCACTTTCCAAGGTTTATAATCCGTTTTGTGAAAGGTATCGCTTTCCAGTGGATTATCGGGCGGATTATACCGTACTACAGGTCGAAAGTCCTTTCTCTGAACTAATTTTGGTGGTGGACGATAATCCCTCTGATACAGAGTGGAATCTTTTAGAGGAGGAAGTTCTGGGCGCACTATTTGTGGTTTGCATAACTTTCGAAAACAAATAGGCTTTCTTGTAAAATCTATTTTATGCGTTGTATCCATAAAATATATTCCTTCCGTACACAATGTAGCTTGCCTCCCTTTCCCCTTAACCGGAACTATCCCTCTATATTCTCGATAATCGTCCTATAAATTCGAGAAATTCGAGTCTGATAAGTTATTTATAGTCTAAGTAGTATTTAAAAACAGTTTAAGAATCGTACTTGGCACGTGGTTAGAGCCTGGAAAGGTCGATTTGCGGGAAGAGATTGATGAACCGGCTTTTGTAGAACACCTCGACAACCCCGAGCAGTATTTTCGTCCCAAGTTCTAAAAGATTGTTTGTGCAACGTTAAATCATCTAATGGAACGGATGGCGGTTTATATTTCGATTTAGGTTTACACGAAACTGGAACGGCAATTATCTGCGAAATAATAGATATTAGTATTTTGTCACTGCATTATTGTTGATACTTTATTTTATTGTTAGTTTTGTTGCCTTGAAATCGCAATAATCTTTCAAGTATGTCGATTCATCAAACATTTTTACGGTCGGAGGATGATAAGAGGTAGCTGGACGTTGCCTCACTGGTTCGCACTACAATTGTACATATATAAATAAATATCTGAAAATTGTAAATATTAAAAAGAAATCAAAATAAATCATAAAAATGACCTTATGTGCCCGATAGGCTTCGGCATTTGTAGTTAATGTTTCCATTTTCGCCTCGCATTTTTTAGCTGTTATGGCGGGTTTAATGGCGCTTCTGGGAAAAACGTCAAATTTTCTGTATTTCTAGAAATGAATTTTGCATTTATAAAATCTCTCCTTAACATTAAAAAAAAAAAAATTCAAAATATAAATCAAACTGCACCTCCGTATATTCAGAATTTGGTAATTTAGTATCGCAAGTGCTAATCGGCCGAATGTTTTTTCTGGGTTTTTTGGGGCAACGATGGCGCCTGAAATTAAATATTTATATATTACGGTTAAAAATTTTTAATAAAATTCGTATTAATTCTTCAAGACCTACCCGCAAATACATATTTCGCTAATGCACTTATCAACTTTCATCTTTATCGAATTTATTTCGAAATGATTGTTATGAAACTGTTTGTTACGATCGAATTATGGAATCGACGTTACGTTATAAATATCGTTATATATATATAACTTGCTATTTTGTTGATACTTTAGTGTGAAACCAGTCTTAACAGACGTCTCCTGACTGGAATTTATTATATATTTTCTATTTTGTATTATAATTATAAATTTTTAGTGGGCCGGTATTTTTTTTCCCGCCAAACATACTTTTGTAAATGCTGATTTAAATAATACAAATATAGTCGTTGCCGATTTTATTAAACACTGCATTAAAAAAATGTTATGATCCTATTAACATTTAAAACATACAAATGAGAAAGTGTATTGAAAAAAACTCGAAATGTATGCTATCCACAAGTTTCCAGAGAAGGTTCATGTATTTTCCATTACAGTAGCACCACTATCACACTGCCATTAACCACTCGGCCATACGCAAGGACTATATACTACAAGGATAGCCAGATCCCTATTCTACAATGTTAGCCAGGAATGGCAAGTTAGTGACGTCAGCACGTGTCCTGACCTCTCTGTTTATGAGAGGCTCCGGAAGTAGGTCGAAATTCGCGCAAGATAATGTTTTAATTTCGTATAAAAAAAGTGTTTTTTTTTATTATAATAATATATATAGTAAAAAGAAACCGTCTAACGCAAGGTGAATATATTATGTCCATATAAAGTCATATCTGTAGAAATTTCTGAGAAAAAACGAATTTCTCAGAAAGAAACAATAGATGAATTTGAGTACTTAGATCGAGCGTCTTCGATAGGAATCAAATTGTCAATCGGAGTTGACTCACCCCGCGATCTGGGCTCCGATCCCGTTACAATTTGTAACGAGGAGGGAGACCAATTAGAGAACGGGGGCAGATCGACATCGACCTATCGGAATGTTCGATCTGGGACTCAGAAAAACTTATAAAAATCGCGCAAAAATAGGATGTGACGTTCTTGGTTACTAAGTTCGGTGTGCTCCGCTTCTGGATTTTTCCTGCGGTTCGTCGTCCCGAAAGAAGTTTTCGCCATCCTGTCCCAGCAACTTTCGCCAAGGATAATCTACTGTGAGAATCACCCCTTCAAGTTGTGCTGTGCACCCCGGAGCCTACGTTTTCCTCATCATCTTCGCCAAAAGAAGAGAAGATCGTAAGATTGAACTTTGAACTGATTCACTCTGTGGATAGGCCTTACGCCGAAGAAAACAGTAGTTGTAAGAGAAATTTTTATATTTAATAAATAGTTTGCGATGGAAGACCTGTCTCAGTAAGTTTTTCCACTCCCACACGACAGTGCTGACCGCTCGACTGTCGCGACACTTTTTCCCCAATCGGCAAACCTCGCACTGGTGTCCCAGAAGTGGGATTTTAAGTCCCCAATTTCCACCGGGTCAACGACCT